AGATAGTCCCGCTCCTCTATCGGCAACTCCTCCAGCAGCCTCGTCCACTTGACGTTTCCGTCTACATGTTGAAGTTCGAGTGCACTCTGTTCCACCACAAAATTCAGTTTTGCTGTCATCAGCTGCGTCCCCGGGCTCCTGCGTCCCTCGTTTTCGTCTCCATTGTTGCCACAGGCCCCGATTTGGGCTGTGGTACGTTGCTGTAGCTGCTCGAACTGCAATACCAGGTTGTCCAGACGTCTGGCAATGGCGTCTTGTCTCGTGGCTGTAAGCTCTTTCACCACTGCATTGCGTCTCTCCAGTCGCGCATCTTCCTCTGCTAGAAACTTCAGTTGTTCAGGGGTAAGCTGCTCCTTGTTGGAGCTCGACGATTCGGGGCTGGGCGAAATCTGCTTCCGTTCCTGTTGAAGAGTAGCATTCTGCGTTGCCTGGGCCAACAACTGCCCGGTCACTTGCTGTGCCAATGTGCTGGTGGGAGCAGGAGATGAGGGTGCGTTTAGAAATGCTGGCGGGGGAGAGGAAGCGGTGCTGGAGGGCAGGTAGGCCAGCTCATTGCTCGCCAAGTCCATGAGCTCTTCCTCCAGATCTAGGTCCATCTTGATCATGATTATTATTGGCTGAAACTAGAATAAATCCGTTGCGAGTTCCATTACCTCGATTGTGGCGACGGTTAAAGTGGATGTCATGGCGAGCTCGAAGCCTCGCGGACGGCCACCGGCCGACGGGAACTTTATCATGTGGACGGAGCCTCTGGTCGAGAGCTTACTGAAGTTGAGGTTTGAGAAGTACGCGGAGCCGATGGCGGCTGCAAGAGGCACCAAATCGCTCCGAGTAGCGTGGGCCGAGCTGGCGAAGGAGCTTACGCTGCAGAACAACGGGGACGTGGTGTCCGTGGAGCAGTGTCGCAACAAGGTACTACATAGTAACTGAGTGGGTAGAAGCAGCATTATGCTCTATGTATACACCCTGTGTAATGGTATACATTGAATGTGAGGTTAACCTATCTTTCGTTGTCAATCTGATGCTCAGCTCAAGGCGCTGAGAAACAAATGGTTGGCTTACCACTCTGGAATGGTCTCGGAACCAGTTTGTCTTGCACTCATGGACGCTTGTTGGGGTAGTGAGAAAGATGACGGAGTACCGGCCAAGTCGCAAAGTCACTCGAGACCGAGCCCAGAGCATCGTAAACAAGCCAAGAAGCCACGAGTGGGGCCTTCTTCACCTTCAGGTGCTGAAGGGGGATCGCTGGTTCCTATCGCGTCAGCTCCAGCTCCGGCCTCACTTGTGGATGCAGCTTCAGATGTAGCCCTGGTGTCGACTTCTGCTCCACCTTTTGTTGAGGCGAAAGGACCCACGTCGACAGCAGCTTTGCGTTCGCGTCCGCAGACTGGTGCCCCAACGTCTAAAGCGGCCCCGGTACTAGACGGAGGAAAACAAGCCATCCCGCAAGATATTACGTCGGCTTCCACTCAAACTGCTCGACTCAATAAGCCTCCCCTGGAATGCACAGGCATGGCGAAAGTAGAGAAACTAATCAACGACGGCTTCGCTAAGGTGCTAGAAGGTCAAGCGAAACAGTTAAAGCTGGTGGAGGAGCAAAATCAGCTGCTGGCGCAGATTTTTGAGACGTTGCAGCGCAGCAAACACCAGGACAACACGAGTGACCTGGAGTAGTTGGTGATGAGCTGACATGGAGTACAAGTAATTTGAATGGATCAAATATTTTACCACCATTATTTTTTTACTTTCTGAAAAATTGTACTAAAATATCGTTCAGTTGGCATTTTCAAAAGGTCGCGACTCGCTGTCACTGGATCGATGTTGTGGAGCGCAGTTCGGTGGCGATCCAGGAATTTGCTGTTCGTCTTGTGGTGGTGTCTACTACGATTTAGTGTGATTTCCAATGTAATAGCCATTATTTCGTAGAGGTGTTAGTCGCCGGATCACTTATATTGTTCGTTTATATTCGCTAGACCACTTCCACGGTATATTTCCGCCAGCAGAGCGGCGGCTCTATCTTCGCTATCGACAGACGAGATGGCAGCGAGACAGAAACTGAAGGCTCCAGTGAATACGCGCGCTTTGTGGGGCTAGCGATTCATCGGCGATATGGACGTATTTTCTGGAGTGATGGTAGATCTGTCGAAAGTGCAAACTTGTCTGACGGATCCGATGTTAATGTTGTTATTGGAGCCCTGGCAAGAGTTGTGTGGATAGGATCCAACTTTGGCCAAACGCAAGTGAGCATTCACGATCTAACAGTGAAAGGCACCAGACGTAATGGTGTCATTTCGTGGTCACCAGAACGTGTCGAGTGTATTGTCGGACGGAAGATTGTTTCTTGGATCGTATTTGGACATGACCTGGATTTAGGTCGGATAATTATTCAGGCCTACATTTACACCAGGCGGTCACAGACCAATATTCGCTTCATTTACCAGCGTTAGGTACGCGTGAACCAACAGTGTGTTAGAAGTGCGTATTCCCTTGACGAACCCTTCCCTGGACACCCGCTGCGATCACGTTAGACACATTTAAAAGGGTAGCTTTGAATGAAATGTTGAGCTAGTGTCATTTCTCGATTCACCACCCAACGAAGTCGCCATTGGGATGTTTGTCTAGCTCAAAGAGAAGTATGATAGCTTTTTTGGCTGCTGCATTGGATTAAATGGTGACAGAAAGATCGGCAGCGATGGAATTATCGCTAAATGCATACCCGACTAATATTCAGGCCATGTCCGAATGCGACCTCCAAGAAAGTTAACCTTGTCGGACTACCTCTGCGCTTTTCGCAAACTCAAATTCCTTCAGTAAGCGAAGACGGCTGCTGATTCAGACAAATCACGGATCCATGGCAGGAATATTACGCTGAATTACACCGCGTACTTTGTTCCTGATTGTTGAGCGGATTGACATTGGCGTAGATTTCATTCTTCCGCACGCTCTGGTTGTCGATGTTCGCGAAGGAGAGGATTGGCTCTGCTGGTCAAACCTGAGAGATTGTTCCTTTGGATTCAAGTGAGTACAAAGAGGAGTCTGTCATTCATAGGTCTCCTCTTTTGCACTTACTTGAATCACAGGCACGTGTCGGGTGTAAAGGTGGATTATTGGTTATCATTGTCCAGGAGCTCAATGCTCCAGTGTTGCATTATCCGGACAGCGTAGTGCATCAAGCATCTATTCAGGGAGGTGGGGATCACGTCTACCTTTAAAGGCTGGAGTAGGACATACTGGTGAGTGAATCGCGAACACTAGATTTCCCAAAACACTACCCAAAATAAAACTGCAGATTATATGCGCTCGTGAAGCAACTGGGCTAATTACGGCAGCACTTGACGTATGGATTCAAGGATACTGTTGCTCAGGTGTCGAGTCCATTTTTGTGTTAGCCTATGTTTGTGGGCGACATAGTGAGCTAAATTGCCAAGCTTCACGCTTGTGTTCCTGCTTCGTCTCCACAGCTCACACATTTTTCAACTTGCACCACAACAAGCACCTCGACGAATGCCGACAATCTCCGCCACGAATCGCGCAACTTACAGGCGTACTCAATGACAACCCAGTACGCTGCTTCCATGTTGGCAAGTGTGAACGCACAACGTGCTGCCCAGGGACTCCCTGCACTCTGTTTGAACACTAAACTGATGGCGGCGTCAATGCGCCACTCGACTGACATGGCCGCGAAGAATTTTGTAAGCCACACGGGCTCTGACGGGTCTACCATGTCGATGCGCGTCACTGCTGCAGGCTACAAATGGACCAGAGTGGCTGAAAACGTTGCTGCCGGTCAATCGAGCATCGCTGCTGTCATGACTTCCTGGGTGAATTCAGCCGGTCACCGCGCCAACATTTTGGGCGACTACACCATGTTCGGCACTGCGTATGCCTACAACAGTGGCAGCACGTACAAGCATTACTGGACGCAAAACTTTGGCAAGGGCAGCACCGAGTCGTGCAGCTACGAAGATGTCGAGTACGAGGATGCACCGACTCCAACTCTAAATTCGACGACGGATTCGGATAACTCGACGGTGGTGCTTCCCAACGAGCCAGCCCCAGAAGTGAACACTCCTACTAAACTGGACAGCGAGGTGGTACTGTAAAGCACTACGAAGATGGAGAGAGCGTGCAGATAGAAGGATAGGAATTGTATATGAGCTGCTACGCAATACTGAAAAGAAACAATATGAGCTGCTTAGATAAAAATATATCTACCTCTCTTTCAGTATGACTGCCCTCACCACGTGCTTTCATCACAACAACGCCTATGTCAAAAGCATTAGAGATGATACCACCTTCCGCAAGAGCATGCTCAATTGATTGTCGTTAGGTCTATTGGGGCAATAGTATAGGCTGCTACGCGCATAAAACATACTCTCAAAAAGCTGTACATCGAAACTGCGGATCAGGCTAAACGTATCTCTATGCAGCTTACGTTAGGATAGAGGGTTATCAGAGCCACCAAACGAAGCAGGATAACGTCACTACTGCTTCGCGAGTCATATAGACTATTTATGCTGGGGTCTTCAACATCTATGATGATTCATCATCATATTTTGATTGATGACTTATGAGTCATCACCGATAATTGATTGGATTAGTGATCGACGTACTGATTCGGCAAAGTCCATTAAACTAGTTGTCATAACAAATTGTTACAGACACTACAAGACGAAAAGAAAATCTGCAAACTTCGCCCAGCGAGTTGTTTAGTTATAAAACTACCAACTTATTGTTTGGAGATTCTTACAAAGGGTCTTTTGATTCTGTCCGGTATGTTTTGTCGTATGTGGTAGGTTATCGATTGCTGGGATCGGGTCGATATAGCCTTGGCGCTCGTATGCTGTATTAAGATGACAATGCCGGGTTACTGAGTGTCACCGAAGAACAACTGGTCAACATCTTCAATGTAAAAAATGCCCTCTGAAATTTAATTCACTAAGAAGGAGAGTGCGTGAGCCCATTCTCTTTGGAGAATGAGGTCTAACTACACCCGAGGTCGCCCGACCTCGAGTGTAGTAAAACCAAATAAAGAAAGAATATGTGTGCTGACATGCCTATTGCGTTAGCAACTGCTGCAGTATATGCAACTGCCACAACCGCTCTAAGATCCCCTTGAGATTCTCTTTGCTTAAACGCACCTTTGTGATAGGTCCAATGGTACAGGATAGAGTAAGGTCAAGGATAGGCATAACTTTATATTGAGGCACCCATCCGCCTTAAAGGCACCAAATAGAGAACTTTCTATGATCCCTTTGCACAGCATAAATCTATGTTGAGGTTTGGATGTCATTTCGTGAAAGCCACAGAATGCGGCACCAATACTATCACCAAAGAAGATCACGCATGATCTAGGAAGCACCAACACGACCCTGAGCCAAGCGAAGTCAGGCCATGCTCGATCCAAGTTCTAAAGAGTTGCAGTCTTTTTGTACAATAGCGATTCATTAAACTCTGTTTTGGCTGGCTGCATCACGCCCCTCTTTTGATACGCTACCCTTGTTTCCTGCCTCCATCCAGTTTCATAGAGTAAAAAAAAATCACTAGTGAATGAGAGTGGTTGTATGTGCTTCCATTGAAGCTTAGGCTTTCTGACATGGCGCGATACTTTTTTTTTTGCGAATCTCTTACTAAAAACAATGCGAATTAAAACCATCGGTCTTTCCCATGCTAAAAAACAAAGACCCGAATTAAGCACTAGTTTTGTGAAGTTTTGCGCTTAATGTTGCCAGCGTGCAAAGCATTTCACTAGCATCCTTTCGGTATCGGCAGCATCAATACACTTGGAACAGCTTATTTGAAAACTCTTGTCACGACAGGTAATATAATATAATAGTAATAGAACATGTCGTAAAATACATCTAAAAATACTGAGCTTTCTCAAACGGACAGTTGAAACTCATCAGAAAAAAAAAACTTCAGCCCAACACAACTTAAATGGAATGGAAAAAATATTTCGAGAGATCTGATTGGACGGAATGGCATTCAGACAAAAAACCCATTAAAAAATTAATGGGTCTTTTTCGTCTGAATGCCATCCAACGTACGGTTTATTTGGGTTATTCGGAACCAACTAAAAAAAAGTCAAATTTTGGGTTGTAATAATATTGGCTTGGATGGCATTCAACTTAGTTCCAAAATCTCGTCGTCACGCATGTTGATTGGCTGGGATGGCATTCAGACGAAAAACCCATTAAAATTTTAATGGTTTTTTTTCGTATGAATGCCATCCAACGGCAAGCGACATTTTCATCGAAAGTTCTACAAGTTCGTTGTCGTTGCTGTCTCATCATATGTCACAGTCAGCCATTGGATGGCATTCAGACGAAAAAAAACCCATTAACATTTTAATGGTTGTTTTTTCGTCTGAATGCCATCCAACGGCAGGCTGGGTAATAATGGATTTTTATCATTTTTTTTTTCATGCGCTATTTTTTAGCGACGAAGGCTGACGACGTATTCACGTCGCGAATTTTGTTGTTGGATCCCTTTTTTATCTATACAAAATCGTCATTTCCGAATTTACCAACTACCCCCCACAACGAGCAAAAGAAGTAACCAAGACAATACTCAAGAACTCATCATGAACCAAGCCTCGGATGATATGGCACGCGAATGTATCGCAACGCAGCACGAGACTAAAGGACAACCGATAGAAATGAATTTTGAAGCGCATGACCCCAGTCCGACCTCGACCCCGAGTGACCATGACAACGACCCGAACAAGCAGACTGCCAATGCCAACATGAACCCAAACAGGGAGACCTCGAACCAAGACGAACACCAGCAGCAGTTTGACGACACTAATACCGACGATAACCAAGTGAATCACGGAGCCTATTCGTCCTACTCATTCACTAAATCATCCATTCTGGATGACGAAGGACACCGGGTAGCGAGCATGCAGGGCCGCTACGAAGACTCGGCGGGTCGTCTGAAAGCTGTGAATGAACGCCAGATCGATAGCAAAAAGTTGCGCACTACGTGGAACAGCTTGGACCCCGAGGATACGATTCAGCCCGAGACAACGTGCACTAGCGGGACACCGGAAGAATTCGAGGCGCAGTGGCAAAAGACGCCTTTCGGAGAGGCACAGAAGATCATTCAGGATCAACAGCACCAGCAGCAGTTGGAACACAGTGGATAGACACCGAAGCATCAATAGCAGGTGACCACATCCAATTTGAAGTCCAAGAGGGAAGCGACGGTGATTGGTAGCATGTATTTCTGTTGGCAGAGCGATCGGTGGATCGCCAATGCAATGCAAAGGTGTTACAGAGAGCATCTTAAACAGCGAAGAACAATATAACGATCTTTCAGAAAAGCAATACGATTTTTATTTTATCTTTTTTGTCAGTAGTAATGTTAATGCCAAAAAAAAAATACAAAAGCAAAAAAGCATTAAAAAAACTTTTTTGTCTATCTTCATAATTCACTTACTTGGTATAAATTGTTCCTACTAAAAAAAAAACACACACACACAAGCTGAAAGTGACAAATTGAGGTGTCAATCGATGCAAGAGGCCGACGATGACCAGCACGTGGTGGCGTCCTTCTCGCTGCCGGCATCGCCTGTACGCAGCCCCACGGGCTCTGACAACGTGTCTGCATGGGTAGAAGACACTAGCGACGGGCATCCCGTGCCGGGAGACGTCCCGGAGTTCCCCTTGGTGCTGTGGGAGAACAGCAACTCCAGTGACCAACACTCTGAGCTACCGCGCACTTCGTCCGCTATTGTGCCGTTCCAGAAGCTTCAGTTGGACACGAACTTAAACCAGACGACACTACCGTATCCGCGCTCTAGAGCGAGCTCTGTGAGCTCTCCACGCTCCTCAAATGGGTCAGAAAGCCCCGGACACAGGAAGCCTCAGACGCCCACGCAGCAACTAGCCTCCGGCTTCCTGGGCATGGAGACGGAGACCACATCGCAGATGTCGCAGGACTTTATGAACGCTCTGAGACTCGGAGACTTGACACAGCAAGAAGAGCCGCAGCTGTCGGTCCGTCTTCGAGGCAGTAGAGTGGAGCTGGCCTCGGCCTCAGAGGAGCAGCAGGTGGACTTTCTAGGACCTGCAGAGAACATCAAGAGACTATTTAAACTGCCATACTCGCAGTCCAGAGTGTCACTGGCAGTGCATCGAGTCGGAAGCACTTTAGTCGTGGACGGAGAACTGGACGAGAACGATTTACCTGATGGCTTTGAAGATCTGCCACAAGATACACTGCAACTGGCCCAGCAGTCTGAGGAGACGACACAGAGGTTACTGTATGAAAAATTCATCTATGAAAGCACCGTGAATCAACTACCGGCGTCTGAAACGGAGAAACTAGTGAAGAAAGAAGAGATACTGGAACAAAGTGGAAAAAATAAGGCGAAGAAGCATAAAAAGTCGAAGAAGTCGAAGAAAGCGAAGCGGAAGTTGGTTTCGGATGCCGGAACCGAGTCAAGGAGCGATAAAGTGGAGTTGCTGCCGACAGCTGAGCAAGATAAAGGAGATAAAGTACCCACCACAGTGCCATCGCCTTCGATAACTGGGTTTAGCTCACCATGGGCAAGTGAATCTACAACTGAAGCAACCAATCACCATCCAGATTCTACACCGTCGAGTGACCAGCGTAAGCCGACGCCTTCGTTTATCCCGACCGAGACGAACTGGTTCACGTCAGCTCAGCATTCACCAGCGTTTGGAGGAGACTCACAGACGTTCCAGCGCATTTTGAAGTGGAAATTCAATGATCTCAAAATGGTAAGCAGTAGTACTTTACATGTATACTATTCGATGGCTAGTACTAATTCCTGTCTGCTTATTTTTCAGATTCTTGGCAGTCAAGTTCTCTTGTTCAGCAACCAGGAACACCCAGCTGTTTCCTTGAAGCTCCATGATGTAGACCAGGAGTTATCTCTGTGCACTGTGCTGGATTATTATCTCGACAACGTCATCGCAAACATCCCGGAACTGGCCATCTGCATGCATTCCAAGGGACTGGTCCGCGGCTACAAACTTGTTGAGACGAGACAGATCCCCTATATGTCTGGTACCGGTCGCCCACTGTTCGACGTCCAAGATGTGAGTATGAATGCGTCCATGCTGCTCAAATTTCTTCAGGAAAACTGTTCAAGACCCAACGGCACGTACTGGCTGCATCGAAAAGAAGGCGAGAGCTCTCTGCGGCTATACGACGTTGATGTGTTATCACAAGGGGGTCAACTCAAGTGGAAGTACATGATGGCAATGCTCTGCTATCGATTCGCAGCTAGAGCATCGAGACTGGCGAACTCGCTGGCCGCAGGAACGCCGCAATTGCAGCAACAACTTCAGCAACGCCAACGAGAATTACTACGCACGTGCATGAGTCTACTAGGTGAGATTGCACAAAAAGGTGGAGCAGCTCACAGTTCTATTTGCTCCTCTGTAAGCGAACAACTCGCAGATACGTATCTTCGAGAATGCAGCCAGTGTCACTCGACCGATTCAACGTCCGAAGACCGAGAAGCGGCTATCGAATCACTCGAGAAGGCAAAACAGTATTTGCTATCAAGTATCAAGTTGTTTGAAGACTGTATCCCTAAAGATTCCGGCCCCGCTTTGACACACAGTGACGATGGAATGGATGCCGATATCCTTGACGAACTAGAAGATGGAGAGGGGGAAATGGGTAGCTTTATGGATGAAGAGCTCAATCGACTACAGTTAAAATTCAGCTCTGCATGTCTTGAACTGGGGCAGCTTTACGCTGGCAGTCGCAAGTGGACAGATGCAGTGAAATGTATGGTTGAGGCCAGCCAATTCCTAACGTTGAGCTGTATTCCAGAGGGCGTTGAGTCGTTGGATTTGTCGTCGCGGGACCAGGATGCTATGGTTGACGGTCTGTTGGCAAAGTTGGATTTCGATGGAGTTGGACGAGGCGGATTCTCTCAAGACAAGGTACCGATTTGCATATCTGGTGCGGAGCTGCGTTGCTCGTTGCTGGGTTTGGTTGGTGACATGGCTGCTCAAAGACCTGTGGGTGTTTATAGAGAGCTGTCAGCTCTCTACGATATTATATCGGGCGTTAAGCGGGATGACCTTCCAGGTTTGTGTGGTCGATCAAGTGAGTTCTTAAAGACCTTTGGAAATGAGAACAAGACGAGTGTGGGTAGCGAGGAGGGTCTGATGGTTTTGTCCTTCCTTGCTTACTTACGTGCGCTGTCACCACCAGTGCACTCCGAGCTGTATTTGTACGTCCTTACTTACTGTGCCTACGCTTGTTGGCATTGTAGCTTCTAACTGCGATGTGATTGTTGGCTTTAATGTAGCATGATGATGAAGAAGTTGGGAAATGCGAGCAACGAACTTGGCAAGTATTTCCTAGCTGCGAAGCGTGATTACAAGGAAGCGTTCAGGTGGTTTGAACGTGGTTGCAAGATCTTTAGCGATATTGAAGGTATGTGTGGTACAGTGTCATGGTCTGGTGCTTATACTGACGATGCCTGCTCGTCAGATGGAGTCAATGTGGCGCTGCTCCGAGCTAATCTCGCCCATCTTCACAAGATTTTCGCTCAGGGCAAACCTGCAGACTCAAGAGAGGAACACTATGGAACAGCTATTCAACTCTGCACTGATGCTTTGCGACTCTTAAAGCAAAGCAAAGCAGATGTGGATTTACACAACAAGGTGAAGGGTGAATTGGCTCTTACCTATCTGGTATGGGCAGTGGATGTGGCGAACAATACGACGGCGAGTTCTCCAAAGACCAGAGAACAGGAAGCATTGAAAGTGTTCAACAAGGCGCTATCGTTATACGCCGAGCTTGGCGACAAGAAGCAGGTAGCGTCCACTCATTACCAGATTGCCTCGTTCTATAGCCGCATGATCTCCAGCACGGTGAGGGAGAGTTCAACTACTGAAAATCCTGACGGACCTTCGTCAGCCTTAACAAGCCGCATGGAGATTGCCAGGCGACACTATGAAAAGGCCTTACATTACTTCGGCGCAGTCGAGGTTGGTAAAACTTTCGTACTTATTCATCAAGAGCTGGCGGATCTACATATGCTCGGCGGACATGTGGAAGCGATTGAACATGCGCTGTTGATCCTATTAAATACCTATGAGGCCTTCAGTCTCGCTGCATCTAGGGATTCGAAGCTGGAGAAGGAGGAAATGACGTCGCTAGCCCGCGACATTGTGGCGAAAGTTAAGGCTGTATTGCATCAACTTATTCGATTGAGTTCGGGTGGACGTACCAGTGGCAACGCTGCCATCACGAAGAGCAAAAAGCTGGAAATGTTCAAGAAAATGTACAAAGAGGTGATTTACTACGACGGATATAGTGCAGGAAGTATTGTGCCGATTTTGGGAACCCTGCGCGGAATGTACGTAGTACAGTATAGAGAGATAAGATTTTGAATCAATGGATAGAGTGCCAATGCCGTACAGCTTAACTACGATAGGAACTAACATTCTCACGGGGCCATAAACCAAGTTTATCTGTTGTTTTTCTTCGTGAGGAACGCTTTAAATGCGTTCACAACTTGGTCGTCGCGCCAAGAGCTCAATCTGTCTGGACTGTTTCGTAGCATTTGTTTGATACTCTTAGCTGTTTCTCCGCGCCTCGCCCATTGTGCAAACTGGGCTGTTTGTAGGTCCGTTGCGAGTTTACCCACGCTTGGAGAGACTTTAGCCGACTGGATATACCGTGCAAGAGCATCGTCGCCGTAGTATCTCGTCATAATCGCGACCATAGATCCTTTCGAATTCGTGTCGTCGAGTTTGAGCATCAAGTTGGACCAAGTTTTTAGCTCTGGTGTACCCATAATGAACCCCTTCCTCTTGTGGAGGTTTAGCAGCCCGAAGGCTGTCTCCGCGAGCTTGGCTTTGTAGGAATTCATGCTCGCGAGCTTCTCCGCGGCAGCGGCCGGGACCCGCCTCTCTTCAGTATTTGCGTAGCCACCATCATAACCGGAGCGTGTTTCCGTTCTCAAGTGTCTCTTCGCTACGATCGGGTTCCGGCCGGCAGTGAACGAGATTGGAGAGGCAGCATCGACGCTTGGGAGAAAAACCGCAACAAATACGTGAAGGAGAAGGAAGTAGAGTAGACGCATAGCTGGGCGCTTGGTAGTCGATAAGGACCAAATTGCGAAGTGACTGCAGAGACGAATTCCAACCAACATCCGTCACATTAGATAACTGTAACTATTCTACTTGTACCGGGACTAAGCACCGAGCCGTACCATGTAAGTACCGCACTAAGCTTCGACTCGGTGTTTAGTGCCCGGCATCCCGAAAAATAAATAATCTCGGAAAAGTATTCATATTTTGTGTACCAATAATTTAATTTTGGAAGAAGTCGAAGGTGTGCCCGATATTTATGTTCAGCACTCTAAAAAATCAATACAGATCCGCCCTCTAATCCGTCCCTCCAGTCCGGCCAGAACCTCTATCAGATTTATATTATGCATTTTTGGAGGTCGTTTGAATTTCAATCAGGCGGGAAACGCACTTTTGAATCCCTGCGCGGCTAACAAACATGGGGCGCTGGCTGACCAT